GGAATAACTGGGTTAAATGAAACATAGTGTTTTGAGGAATCCCTACACTGATTCCTACAGTGATTGCATCTCTTTACACTTCCACCAGAAGTAGAAAAGAATTCCTTTTTCCCCACACCCACACCAGCATTTGTTACTGGATTATTCCTGGATAATAGCCATTTTCCCGGGAGTAAGATGGAATCTCACTTAATTTTCATTTCTTGAATGACCAGTGAATATTTCTGAACATTTTTCATATACTAACTGAGGAGGTGCTGGCAATTGTCTCCCACTAAGTAGAATGTGTCTTCATTTTTTGGGTGGATTTTTGCTGTGCAAAATCTCTTAATAAGATGAGATCACAATTGGTTGATTCATTGTATTATTTCCTGTGTGATCGGGGTTTTGTTCATAAAGTCTTTGCTTACACCTATATCTCCAACAGTTCTAGTGTTTTACCTTCCAATAGATTGTGTTTCTGTTTTAATATTTACATCTTTGATCCATTTTGATTTTATTTTAGTGCATAATGTGTATCTGCTCTAAATACAAACTGTCTCCCCAGGTACAGCATTGGTTGTCAGAGGAAACATAAGACAGCATGGAGCTGACTGAGTGGTATTTGAAGTCCATCAAGATATTCAACAATAAAAGAAAGATCGTAGAAAGCTCCATGAAGTACAACTAGAAACAATGGAGCTGAGGGAATCACTCCCTTCTCTCCATTTAATTTAAATGGCTAATTATGACCATGGCCATTTCTCTTTCCATTATCCTAAGTAGAAAATTAAAAAAGAGAGAGAAAGAGAGCTCTCATGCTTCAGGGAAGAACACATACATGTTGGATCTCCTAGGTGGACCTTCAGTCACCCTCACCTGACTCAAACTTCATTATGGATTCATAAATATGTACTACGTGTATGTACATAATTAAAATCAGAGTGAATGCTGAGACAAATATCCAAGTTGAGAGTTCCTGAAATCACATAGTATCCTGTCAATCATACCTAGATATTCATGGGGAAGCACCTGGGCTGATTTGCCTATCCTTTAAATTCTAGAAGCCTGATTCATCATGAACTGCTGCTACTACAGTGTGCTGTGATCTGTGTGCAGTGTTTTTACTTTCCTGTCACCTTGCATCCTTTTTTTTTTTTCCTGTCTACATCATATCTTTTTCTGGAATTGATATGCCCTAAATACAGCTTCCTATAATCTTCAATAAATGTAGCTGCTTGCCACTTGCTGTCCAGTGTATGATTACACAAGAACCTGGACTATATCTGACATTCCATTGTAAGACCTCCACAAACACTCTGCTCCAGAACTTCAAAGGGCTTTCTAGGTAGCCACAGCAAAGGCAGCCATCTATCAGTGCAAAATCCAGAGTTCCTACCTCCCATTTTTTCCAGCAAGTCCAATGTACCAGAATCATGCGAATACCACAAAAACCAACAGAACTCAACCCCAGGCCAATTGAGTCAGAATCAGGGTAAGAAGTACTGGATTTAAGTAGTTGAAAAAGTTTAGTGTCACTCTGAGGTAGTATAGTATAAGGGAATTGTCTAAGGCTCAACAGATGACAGGCAAAATTAAGAGCAGAAATCCAGTCTTCTGTGACTCCAATATTCCTATTAATCTCCATAGGATGTAATGAGTTGGTGAATCTTCCAAGAGCATCTTTCTCAAAAAGTTCCTAAGCAACTACACCTTTCTCACCCTGCCCAATCACCAGAATCCCAGGTCAGACAATTCAATTTTTTAAGAATCAACTCCTCTTCCATGACACTCTCTTTACTAATTTTGTTTTCTTTCGTTTCTTTCTCCTGTTTTTCTAACTTTTTTCTAATTTTCTTTTAATTGACCTTAATTCATGAGGTCCTGGGGACCACCAAACTTTGTGGCTGTTCTGAGAAGGGGGCCCAGAGATCCATTCTGTGTGTGGCAGTACTGCCCCCAGGGCTTTCAAGCAGATGCTATTTCAAGTCCTCTGTTTAGGTTGGAGATCTTGGGGAAGCCCCTACAACAAGTGCCAGTAGGGCCAAGTAACTTTCCAGGACCCAAAGGAATATGACTCTGGATTAAAGAAACAAAAACTATGAGCATAATAACCTTCTGGTTGGTGGTGAAGGTAGATATTTGTGTATGCAAAACAGAAAGTGGTGACTCCTGATGTTATGGCTTGTATCTAGATGTCCCCCAAAAGCTTGCTTAGTCATAGGTGGGATTTTTTGGAGGTGGCTGGAACTAGAGTGCATGATATGGGAATCAAGGAAGTGATGGAACTAAGAGTGTGAGTGCTCTTCACCCTAAGGTTGGGTAGCCTGGATAAGATACAAGGGACAGAAAGGGGGTCATTACTTGCCACTTGCTGCTTGGATGATTTTGCTGCTTTCTGCCTGCTACAAACTGTTTCTCCTCTGTGATGCATCTCTGTCATGCCATGCTGTCTTGGAGTCACTCAATTTGAACAGTCTCTTCAAACTGTGAGATGAAATAAACTTTTTGTCCTTTTACTTTGGGTGTCAGGTATTTTGTCTCAGCAATGAGAAAAATTAACTAAGACAGAATTTGGTACCAGTGCTGTGACTATATCTGAACATGTGGTACTAATGCTGTGACTATTCCTGAAAATGTGGTTCACAAACCTTTGGAACTGGATAGTGAGAAGAATTTGGAAAGTTTTGGAGATGCTGGCTGAAGAAGCAGCCCTGGAATGCCTTAAACTATATTCGATGGAAGATTCTGGTCAGAGCACCGAAGACCAGAATGCTGATAGAAACGCTACCAATAAGTTCCAGGATCAGGAGGTTTCCGCTGGGTAGAACTGCACTAGTTATTAGACTCCTGACAATGTATAGTATGCCTTGGCAGAAAGTCTGCATTTTGCTCATGTCCAGAGACTCTGCTCGAGACTGAGATTAAGGCCAGCAGACTAACCTAATCTAACAGAATAAATTTCAGACCAGTCTGACATTGAAGTGGTGTCATGGCTACCCTTGGGGGCTTTTAACCAGATTTATGTTGAGAATCAAGAGTAAAGGGTCCAGCAGGATGACTTAAAATGTTTTGTTCTTGATCAGAAAGGAAGCTTTAGTACAGTTGTGGCTTGCAAAGATTGAGCAGAGGAGAAATTAATTGCTGAACAGACTAGCAAGAAGAAGCCAACTATTTCAGAAGAGAACAACAGAAATGATGGTCTTAAGCCATCACAAGAAGCAAGATGACACCCTTCCTTTTGAAGCTCAAAATTGCAGAAGTGAGTTACTTTGATTTGAGAAGAGAGACCCAGAGCAGAGCATCATGTTCCATCAGAATGGTGGCAGCCTAGGGAAGTCATTTCTAAGCATTTGGTTCATAGGCAGTTGACCCCTACAACTGAAAGAAAGAAGTCTGACTACTGATTCGGCTGGCAATAGACCTGAGCATCCTCCATATGTGCAGATTTTAGGTACATTCAGAATGTAGGAGTTGTGATTTCAGGAAGGCTGCTACCCAGATTTCAAAGGCCTAAGAGGCCAGGCAGTGTGCTCCTGATAGACAATGTGTGAAACTATGTGAAGCAAATGATGAAGTGTAGACTGTAGGTTAGAGAATCCAGGGACATGGATCATCATCTGAGGAAAGAGCAGGAGGGAACAGTACTGGCCCAAGAAAGAAGCCATGAGAACTAAAACCAGCAGCGGTGCCATGGTGGGAGAGGGAGCAGTGTGCCAAAGAATGATTGGGATGCTGGACATGGAACTACAGGATTGTTTGTTCTGCTGCATTTTGGACTTGCTTTGTTCCCATTCCTTTCTATTCCCCTTTGGTTCTTTTGCAATGGAAATGTTTGTCTTGTACCATTACATGTTGGAAGTATATAACAATCTTTTATACAGAGGTTCACAGGTAAGGATTTATCTTGAATCTTAGAGACTTTGGACTTGGACTTTACAGCAATGCTTAAAATGTTAGAATTTCAACAACTTCTAGAGATGAACTAAATACGTTTTGCATAATAAATGTGAGTCTTTGAGTGGGCCAAGGGTGGAATGTTATGACTTGTATCTAGACGTTCCCCCAAAGCTTCATGCAGTCATAGATGTGACTTAAGAAGTGGTTGTATCTATGGTGTGTGATATGGTGATCAAGGATGTGATGGTAGGATCAATGATGTGAGTGTAGGGTGGGTAGGGTGGATAAAAGGAACAGGAGGGCGTTTGCTTGTCACCTGCTGTATGGATGCTTTTGTTGCCTTTTGCCTCACACAAACTATTTTTCCTTTATGGTATCTCTATGCCATGACTGCCTTGGACCCAGATAATTATGGACTGAAATCTCTTCAAATTGTAAGCCAAAATAAGTATTTTCTCTTTTGAGTGTAGAATTTTTTCTCTCAGCAATGAGAAAAAGTAACTAAGACATCTGCCTAAGCTATGATAGGACTGAAAATCAACACATGACTCTAAGGTGACAGCTGCCACAGTGCTATACCCTTGAAGCCCACTGCATAAGATACCATACAATAAGGAACAAAAGCTATATACCAATCCCCAACCCACAGCCAAACAAGTGGAGCAAGTAGCTACCTGGTCAGCATTTTGGGCAGCCACCTGGACCATAGTCCCAGTGAAAGCTACTATTCCTGCAGTGAAAGCTACTATTCCTGAACTAGCCCACTAGGCACATCCTTTTCAATGAGCCACCAACAAGGGTTACTATCTTTGGCATGGTGGGGAAGTAGGACAGATAAACTTCAGAAGTGCCAGGTATCCCCTGGCAGTTCTACAGGAACTTAAGGGGCAGGTCTCAACATGTACATGGTGTGGTAGTGCTTATTGGCATATATCCTGACTGGCATACAAGGTCTAGTCTAAAGGAAGAATTGAAGTCTTCTTTGCTTTTTTTCAGTTCGGCTTGTTTCCCCTCATGGGTGCTCCTTTCCCCACCTTCTTGGTCTCTTCATTTTCTTTCAAGCAAACCTAGCAACTACAGATCCCAGGCATGTTGCTGTGGAATAAGTGACAAGAATGCACTTTAGTAGTGAAGGCCCCTCATGAACTCAAATTTATTAGTAATCAGCAAAAGAAACATAATGTATAACATACAGGCAGTGCATCAAGATATCTAGATGTCAGTGAGAGCTAGGAGAGGTCAAAATCCAGGTTATTTTGTGATGCCTCAGAGATAAGAAAAGGAAAGTTCAGGTGCAGCAAGGGACCATGCTTTCCTTTCTACACGGGGAGAGAGAAAACTTACATCTAGGGTGAGGATGTACTGTGTTTCCTAATTTCTTCCCATTATCCCCCAAGGCAGTTTATTTAATGTGCCCTAAATATACACTTATGTTTTCTTCTCCCAACCCACCCCTATACATCAGAAGTGGAAATAAGCATCAATAATAATCAAAACCCCACCTCTTAATAGGTCCAACAATCACACATATACATCAATAGGGACTTTCTTCTTTCAAGTCACTATAGGATGGGTAAATGGAGGATGAGGCCAATAAACCACTAACTTGAAAGTCACTTTTTTCCAACTACCATCCATATGAGCTGGAGCAGGGTAGATAAGGGGTAACAGTTGTAAGAAGAGAGTACCCACAAAGCAGCAAGGAGATCCTAAAAGTCTCTTCTGGGTGTCACAATCTACAATCTGAGCTCCAGGAAAGTCTCATCAAGGATTTCCTTAATTATATAATTAATTCCTGATGGTTGGAGCATCATTGCCATCTGTCTCTCCCAGCATCTTCAGGAATGGGGTGTGCCTTAAAACCTCTTTCCTGCGTGGCGAATGTTTCTCCAAAATGATCCTTTGGAAAAGCTCAGTATGACAAAGAGTACAACAAGGAAATACTGGTTTCAAAATGGAAGCATGAAACACAAAGAAAAAAGAGAGAGATGAGTACTTTCAGAAAGTGTACACAAAATGAAGGAAGGATACAAAGGAAAAACATAAAGCCATTAAACAGCACACTGCCTACTTGATTCCACATACCTCAGGTACCTAGCATTTGTCTCCAGTACTTGGACATCTGCTGTTGCTATCATAGTGGAGAGGGAACAAAGAGTGCATTATAGCAGGAGTAGGGAGAGAGGAATGAGGAGGTGGGCACCAGGCATTTGAGATGCCAGCCCTTTGCATAAGCAGCAGTGATTCTTGTAGTCATCTTTTGTTTAAAATTATAAACAGCACCACTTAAAAATGTATCAGAAAAGAACAATTGGTAAACATTGTTTTCCATGAATATAAAATGCAACCAATGCAAAAATAGATAATTGACTATATATACCTATATATATCTATATCTATATATATATATATATGTCTGTCTATCTATCTACCTATCTACTTTGATGCAACATACACATGGGTAAACTTGAAGCCTCACTGCTAAACCCCTCATGCCTCCGTCTAGCAACTGGGCCTGGGGGTCAAGCGCAGGTGGGATGCTAACACAGCTGGGAAAGCCACCAGCAGTAGAATAAGGGCACACACTCAACCTTCTGAGTGTAGAAAGCTACTTTCCTCTTTGAGACTGTTTACTGAAGCCTTTATCCAGGGAAACTTGTGGCCTGGTACTCAAGCTACAGTCAGTCAAGCAAGAAGGGCTTCCTTGGAGACTCTAAAGCACCAAAAAGCTATTATCCTGGCCCTGGGAGAGGCCTGATAGGTGGACTTGTCTATCAACATTTACTGGTCCCTCAAGGACTGGTCTTATGTGGGAATTTTCTGGATCAGAGCTATCAAACACTAAGATACTTAGAATTTGGTTGATTGTTCCACTGACATTCTGTACTGTCTTCATGTTTCCAGCCAGGTATTCCTCCTCAAAGATGCAGCTGGCATTTAGTCATGAACTTTTGAACTCTAGAGATTCAAAAGGGCATACTTCTACAGCCAGGAATCCTAACTGTCCCATTTTTGGTGAAAAGGATCCCATCCCTGGACTAGCCAGGACAGTGAAGGAACTTGGAGGCAATGATGATGTCCAAAACATGAATTGCTGCTGAGCCCCATGTCCTATTGTGGTGTGTAACCTTCTATAGCCCAGAAAAGTATATTGAGGTTATGGCAACTCTCCACAGAGGGAGTACATCTTGTTGCCCTCTTGATCCTGATAGTTCTCAGCCTTCAGTTAAAGGCTGAAAACTTCCTTTTCATCTCTTGATTGGCTGATGGGCCTTCTCCAGCAGAATACTGAAGCTAGTGATAGCTACTGTCTGTGTAGCTAGCACAATCCACATTCAGATAGGAGCTCAAGGTGACCTGAAAGAGGATTCAAGAGGTGGGTTTTCTCCTGTTGTAAAGGCATTTGGTGTTTCCTTCCTGCTGAACAGCCAAGCCAAGTTCAGCCTAATCCTTCCACAGCACCTTTGATAAGAGGTCAAATGGTTAGAATCTGGGAACTTCTCTCTTAGAATGCTGTGTTGGGGTGAGGGGGACCTTCTTTCCATTCTCCTGCTCCACATCAGATGCATTTCTTCCAGGCCAATGCCAGCCTGTAGAGTTGGTCTGGGTCCCTTGAGGTGTGGTGTCAGCATCATGAAAACTCATGTGGTACTTCCAGGGCCATAGCACCTGCCAGACAAGTCTGCTCTTTTCAAGGAAGTTGATTGGACCAGCCCTAATCTGAGAATCAGGACAAAGACCTTGAATGAATACATCATCTTGCCAAGAAGCAGTTTACCCACAAAATCATCTTGATTCAGCAGGGAATCAGCATCTGTCCCAAGGTTAAGGAATGGCATATCTAAGGAATGGCAAGAGCTCTGTTGACTTCTCTTAACAGGCATAAAGATGGCTGGAGGGAGGGGCAAAAAAGGCAAAAATAATTTAGGTCAATATATCCAGATAACACAAATTGTCTAAGCCATTTCCAATAAAGAAATTTAAAAGTAACTTTCCTTTAAGGGAACTAAGGAGAGTTAGGTCTGGCAAGATTAGAATGTTGCAATGACTTTCTGACAGCAAACTCTTCATCACCATTATTTCCAACCTAGTTCAACATGAAAACTGTTGGATGCAGAAAAGAGGGTGCCATTCATTTCAAAAAGGACTGAAACTGCCACACAAATCAGAATGTTGTAGCTTGATAGAATGAGGGCACAACATAGTCTTCCATCTCAGGAAGACTAGTCCTTTGGTGATGCTAAGGACTTAAATAATTGAAAGGTGAAAGTTCTATAGAGTGCTGGGTAAAGCGGCTGAGATGCCATTGGTATCCTGTGGTAGGAATACAAGTCTAGGTACTCGTCATAACATCCAAAATAAGACAGGAAGGGCTTAAGGAACTTTTTGATTTTGGGAACAAGCGTGAGAAACAATTTTACCTGATAAGAAGCTGGACTGCCTCAAGCTCCACAGTATGAAATTTCCTCTTTCTGGCTAGGAAAAATAGACCTCTCTTTTCCCTTCCCCTGCATTCAACAAAATCCCCAGTTCCAACAGCCAAGCCTAATATAGATTATATTTTTTCCCTTATCTCAATTAAAACATTATGAGATTATGAAAGCTTCTTTTACAGGACAAAGTGAAATTTCAGAAGTGTCTTGTAGTTTAAGCAGTCACAGGATTAACAAGAAAAACCTTCTATCATTCCAGAGTTCATGACAATGGCAGTGTCCACAATAGAACTGTTTTAATCCTTTGTTTGCAACTGGTCACTCCATTAAGGGAAGTAGTGTTTTTGTTTTCAATCCAAACTGTGGAAGGTCAAGTTAAAAGACTCCATTTGGTGATGATGCCAAAATCTGCAGCAATGGGTTAGACACATGCTACTTGATCTTAAATATGACTAGCTGAGATGAACAGCTTATAGTCCTTTGATGTAATGGTGACAGTTATGCCAAGGTTGAATGGGAAGGGGAGGATCTGTACCATAACTTCACATTGCCAACAGCAACCTCCCCATATCTCCAAGTGAAAAGCAGTACATACAGAGTGGGCTGCTCATCAGTGGTTCATAGTCACTAGGGGGAGGGAACAGAAGGTAGTAAGGGTTTAGTCCTTGTCTAGGATGCATGACATAAATAATCACTAACTTGGCAACTTGAAAAAAAATATAGCATCCCAAACCCTGCATTGGTCACAGGAACAAACCCTGAAAACAAAAACTGGAGCACAGCAGCAGTAGGATTTCTGGGCAGATGTACTTGAGCTGAATGTGACCATAAATGGCAGAAGTAGGAAAGAGGGAAAAAAGATGAAAACCCATAAGTTTTCCTTGACAAAAGGATTTTCAAGTTTAAGAGCAACCCCCACCTCCACCCCTCTGTCCAACTCCTAATCCCCATTCACATGCTCAGTCCCCATGCCTCTACTCCAGAACTGTTGATGACTACTTGGCTAAGTTTCCACTCATAGCAGCAGAGTAGCTTGGGGGAAGAGAGGCACCTTGCTCAGTCTTCTCCTTTGATAGGTCAAAGCTGGAAGCCTTGTAGTGACTGAGTTGAAGCTGGGAGGATTCAGAGTGGACCCTAGGCAGCTGAGGGATGCCACGAGTGATGCCAACAGGTTTAGCCTGATACAAAGGGCTGGGGCTGAATCCTCCAGTACTAGAGGGACAACTGGGCTCATCATCAGGTACTAACACATCTTGAGGTCTGGTTCTCACACTCTGGGAAGCCTGTCGCTGGAGATTATAGCAAGGGCCCATAGGCAGGGGTAGGTGTGAAGGCCGGGCTAACTGAGGCCTAGATTCCCCAGATGCTATTGACTCTGGGTCTGGCACTGACACTGACATGACCACAGGAGGTGCACAACAGGCTCTCTGCCCACACGGAGACTGAATGGAAGGCCCATCCAACTGACTGGGGTTTATCCAGGCAGGGCATGGCCTCATTGGAAGAGGACAGGGAGCCCAGGCAGAACAGGTGTAAGCCCCTGGGGATTCAGTATAAAGGGACAGGGGACTGACTTGGCCCCATTCTCCCTCCCCTTCATCTTCTTCATCTGAATCTTCCTGCTGGCCATGAAGCTCATCAGAGTCCAGATAGCCCTGGGCCAGTTGAAAATTGGAGAGTTCCAGCTCCAGGGTCTCTGCAGTGTCAAGAGAGCGGCTTCTCCTGTTGAGAGCTATGGCAGCAGGTGGAGGTCGATGGTGCGTGCCAGGTAGCCCCAAGTATCGAGGGAGGCTGCTTACACCCCAGGATAGACCTTGGCAGAATCGGCTGTGGTAGTTGTTGAAGGCATGCTTGTGGTAACAGCCCAGCTCAAAAGCTTCCAAGGAGGCTGCAAGGTCTTCATTATTGTGAAACTCAGGACTCTCTTCACACTTCCCTTCCCCTTCCCGCTCCACATCAGCTATGTCAAAGGTCACCATGGGCGGAAGCTCAGGGAGGTTTTGAGTGAAGGAGGAATCAGAGTCAGAGCTGCAAGACATGCTTGACAAAAGGTTTCCATTGCTAGTAAACTCCACTAGGGCCTGTGAGAAACTCACAGTGACATTCCCTTCCTTCTTAACCTCCTCTTCTGGTTCCTCAGGGGGCGAATAAGTAGGGTATGCCCTCCTGGGAGAGCCTCCAAAACTGGCTTCTTGCATGTCTGGCTCAAACATGGCACTATTCTGGAAAAGCTGCATCAGACAGGTACTTTGATCTTTCTTGGAGCAAGTCCCCTCAAAACGCTTCTCCAGAGGACGGAAGTCCCTCCAATCTGGCTCACTGTTTGCAGTAGCAGGGAAAGCTGAGGTGGTTCCTTGGTGGGAAGTCTGAGAAGCTTCTGATGCCCCTGCCATCAGACCCATCACTGATGGGCCTAAGGGCCTCCTCTGATACTCCAAAATAGACTTCTCCTGCTGGGCCTGGGCTTCTTGGACTTTAACCGCTACAGCATGATCTTCTGGGGCCTGGAATTCTTGGATTCGGGCCTCCCTGGCATGAACTTCCCAAATCTGAGCCTCTTGGGCACATCGCTCTATGCCATGAGCCTCTTTGGGATAGGCCTTTCTGTTGTGGGGTTCCCTGGGATGAGCCTCTCGAGCACATGTCTCCCAGGCCTCAAGCTGCTCACGACGAAGTTCCCAATACAACAACTGTTTCTGGATAGTCACTAGCCGTTCTTCCTCTGTCTCCATTGCCCCAGGAGGCCGAGAAGAAGAAAAGGGTTCAAAGTTCAAGAAAGGGTCAAATATTTTAGAGCTATGACCATGGAGGTCATAAAGGCAGTCATCTTCAGGTGGAGAGTTCTCAAGACTGTCATCCGGTTCATAAAACTCATATAGGGCATCTCCACTATAACTGTCTCTGGGTAAGCAATCCCTGTGGACAAGCCCCAGGGCCTCACCTGAATCATCCTCAAATCCAGGTGTGGTAGAGTCATAATAACCTTCATCACTATTGGGGGAAGACTCTTGCTGGTCACTTTGAGGAGTTAAAAGTTCCTCAGAGGCTAGACCAGAGTAGGACTGAACTGAATCAAGGAGCCTGTAGCCATGGTGGCCTGGGGATGTGGTGGAATGGTAGTCCAGGTTAATATTGGGCCTTGGATACATCTGAGCACTTGCCCACAAATATTCTAAGTCATCTTCTTCTTTGACTTCCTCTTCTTCTTCCTCTAATTCTACTTCCTCATCCTCCTCTTCTTCCTCTTCCTCATCATCATCTGGCAAGGCCATTTCTTCCCCACCTCCTTGGTAGGTAACCAGGCAGGAACTTCGCTTGGTCCCATCTCTGTTGGCCCTTTGACCCCCAGAAGCCATACTGTCTGTCATACTGTCCATGTCCTGTTCTGCTATAATATCACCACAACCTGTCAATGAGTCAAAGCTTTTCAAGGATGTGACATCCCCAAACAGGATGCTCAGCTGATCCCCTACAGGGCCTTTGGGTGGATTTAGCTCTCCTGACACTATCTTTTCTGCTGTTTGCCTGTGGGACTCTTCTAGAACACAGACTTCAGGGGCAAGATTCAGCTGTACAAGTGATGAGGCAGAGATTCCTATGGATTTTTCTAGACTTTTGTGGGCTATTTTCTCAGTTGCTGGTGGAGAAGGCTCTTGTGCTGGAGAAATTTTTGGCCCTGACGCATCTTGGGGTTTAGCATTTTTGTTTGTAAGGGCCTGAAAGGTCTCCTTGGAGCAGAGCAGCGGGACTGGGTTCACATGTTCATGAGATCTAACTCGGTCCTGCTCAGGTAACTTGGCTTGTGGCTCACTTTGCTCAGCTCTAGTAATCCTGCTCTTCCGGTGACGGCGGATACTGTTAAAAAAATCTTTTATGCCTTTCTTTGGCTTTGGTATGGGGAGTACCTTGTCAGCTCTAGTGTTTTTGGTGGCTCCAGTCACAGATGTTTTATGCTGGTAGCCTATCTCCAAAGCCCCATGGGTACAGGGGGAGCTAGGAAATGGGGAGGGTGATTCAGGGAAAGGTAGAGAAAAATCAGTTTCTTCACTGACAACATCTTTAGAGCCACAGTCTACTTCACTCAGTCCATCACGTGTTTTGCTTTTTCTTAGACCTTTCTTGGAGACACTTTTTCCAGAACCTTTACTTCGTCCCCCTCCAAAGAAACTAGGCAGAGTACAGATTCCCTTCTTACCACCAAAGAGTTTCATTGCAGTTTTCTTCAGTCTACCTGGGCCAGATGAGCATCGCTCTAACACTGGTACTTCTGTTACCTCATCTGTTTTGTTCTTGGCTCCTTTCTCTGACTCCTGGTCCTGGTTATCCCCAGAAGTTGCCACTCCCTTGGCTTGAGCAGCTTCATTCTTTTGAGTCTCCATGGTGAAGGGGTAAACTCAGGTATGTTCAGGTGGTAATGCAGCCTCAGGCTTCCAGGTGGTATAATAATATCATCAGTCAGGAAGCATCACAGTGCAGTCTGGAGGAGATGAGAGAGACAAAGATAAAGAGATAGATACTGGTAAACAAGTACTAAGGTTGGATTTGTTTTCACAGATATCTGTGATCTCAAGCTGAAGTGGAACTATAGAAAATGCAGAAAAACTTAATCCACTCTGTGCTTGGCTCAGAGCCAGCCCCTTCTGGGCCCCAAGTCAGTGAAATACTACATTGAAAATGGACAGTTATCACTAGCTGCTTCCTTATCAGTCTACTTCCTTTAGGATACCCTAAGCTCAGGGGAACACTGAGCAGAGGCAACTGCAGATGTACAAAAGGTCCAGTGTTCCTATTGGTTGCCAAGAGGGATTACAGAATTCCAGAGAAGGAGTCTCACAAATTTTCAGACCAGGGTTGCAATGTAGAATTAGCTTTGACAATGTAATTGCCTCAGAAAAATATTCTCTGGGCTTCAATATCCTGCATCCACGAAGCCTACCAACACCTCCCCCTCATATGAGCTATCTGAGGGGTTAGACTAGGTGAGACTTAGTTGACTATCTTCCTGAGAAGAGACTTTAATGTTACCTTTGGCAAATGGAACCATTCTTCACTCCACTTTAGAACCAACAGGCAGATTTTTTCTCTTTAATTATTTTGGCCCTCATCTAGCTCCCTTTCTAGGAAAGGAACTCCTCAAAGGATTAACTCCATTATGATTCACATTTCTGGTCTGGGAGACAGGCTCTTCATAGCTATTAACAAGTAAACCAGAGGCAAGCCATTCCTTTTGGTCTAGGTGACGAATTCTCCAAAAACCCAAGGATCAACAGAAATCAAACAAAACGAGCTAGCAACCATCTATCCCAACATATCTCCCTATCCTTCCATCGCCACCACAGTCTCCCTATCCCCACCCTGCCTAGTGTCTTACAGTGACTGTAGCTACCATCTTGCAAAACTCCAGTGACCTTTAGAGTATTACATATAAGACTCTTTTAGACTAGGAGCTCCTTTTAAAAGCAAGGGCTGGAGGTCTCTTTGCTTGATCTGCCTGCAGCACTTAGCTCAATGCCTGCCACTTGTTAAATCTTCAGGAGAGATTTGTTTCATGAATTCCGCAAAGAGGAATAAAACTTCACAGTACAACTCCATCATTGCCACCCTATCTCCAACACCATAATAACAATTCTGTCATTAATTTCAGGGATGAGGAAAAAGCATGTGTAACAAGTTATATGCACTGAGCTCAGTGCTACAGAGCAGAGAAAGAAGGGAGACCCACCCACTGCTTTTAAGGAGCTCCTATTCTAAAAGGGAGAGAGTCCTATATGAAATAGTCTAAAGCCACAATATGTAAGAGTAGCTGCTGTTATCTCTTAAATTGAGTGTTGGGACATAATTCATTATATAGTACTTGTTAGCATGATCCCAAATAAACCAGGGTGACTTCTAAAAACCACGATACTTTAGCTAGACGGGAATCCCTTTGGGCCTTTTCTTGCCCTTGATCTCGGGATATGTAAGGGTAGAGGTGAAGCTACCACTAGTTGTCCTCCTATTTGCTAAGTTATCTTTTTTCCTGACACAGGCAACTGCAGTGTTGCAAAAAGAGTCACAGTCTACAGGGAGTCTAAGTCATGCCAGCTACCTATGTACCAGGGCACTCCAAACAGGTCAAAGTCATCCACTGAGATTGTGAGCTATTTTGAGATCACAAAAGTTCCTCTACTTATCTCTCTACCTTCCCAGTCCAAATGCAGTGGTCCTTTAAATGAGTGAGGAGTAATGATATAACTGATCAAAAAGCAGTCTGTAAATACAGTGCAAATAAGAAAGATCAGCATTACTGTTGTTACTATTATCTCCTAAGTTAGAACCCAATTTCTTAGAAAGTCTATATAAAAGACTTTTCGTGCAGCTGTTTGAAAATGAAGAGCAGGTTGGTTGCCTTGGCCCACAGTGACAGAGAGCCAGATGTAAAAGGATTTTATTTTTTTAAAGTGTGTATTTATATAAAATTATCTGCAAAGAGCAGTTTTAAAAGCCATCTGTGTGTGGTGAGAGTAGATGAACTAGGCAGATTGTGTTCCTGGAATGGATATTCCTTTCCTCTATTTCAGGCCCTTCTGCTAAGTAGACCCAGTGTCATCAGCCTTGAAACCATGTTATCTCTTACCATCTCTCTTTGCTTTGTCCTCAAAAGGTATGCTCCTCTTTCAGCCACTCATAGTGTCTCTGCCATGTGCCTCAAGACACTGGAAAGTACAGAAATAAAAACCTGCCATACCTGCCAGTCTCCCATCTAGCTGTGTCCATTCCAGGCCTATCTGTACTTCTTGCTAATATACTAGGCCCAAAGCAGTCCTTCCTCAATAGGCTATGATGCCTTCACTCAGGACCATAAGAATTCACCAGGAGAGACAACTGAGGCAGAAAGCAAAAGGGACAGTAAGGGGCAGAATCTGCAGCTTCCTTGGGATGAAGCTAACTTCCTGCAGAGTTTCTGCCAAGAAGTGTCCTACCAAGTGCAGGGCCCCTCAACCCTCAGGTTTTTTAATCAGTGTGACTAAGTTTCAGGTAGGTTAGTGGGTAAGGTAATTCTTCCAAACTAGTCCAGCTGTTACTATCATAGAAAGGAAGAAGGCTGTAGCAGATAACGCTAAGGCCACATCAGCTCTCAGGGCTAGTCTCAGGCCATTCTGAGATCAACAAAAGGTTGGTACAAGAGCACAGCCTCTTTCTCCCATGTGATCAAACCAGAGATCTCAGCTAGAGGCCCTTCTTGGGGATGAGTAAACAACTGCAGCCTGAGTTCTGCACATACTGCTACCTGTCTAGCATCCTATAGCCAGCTTAGTCAATTCAGGGGAGGCTGAATTAAGGAAAGAAAGAGTGTATATTTATGCAGTAGCTCTAAAGGCATGATCTTGATCAATTTCAGTTTTCGAAGACTATACTAGTCTTTCTGGAAATAAAGTCACTCTGGGTCCATTCCCTTCTGTATACTAAGAAAGTGAGGGTAAGGGAAGGAACAGGGAAAATGGCAAGTCCACTCCTCACAGAGAGTGGGCCAGTTTTGTACTGGAATCAGCTCTGTCTACCGAGGGGACAGTCAGAATGTTACTTCACATGCTTACACTTAAGTTTCCTTGATTATAAATGAGGCTACGAGAGTTCCTACTTCTTAAAGCTATTGTAAACATCAGAACCAGTATATATAAAAAGTATCAAATAAACACACAACATAGTAGAATTTCAAACACTGCAACAACTTTTATTAATATTTGGTTCTCAGTTTCTAAATGGTAAATGAGAGTGACTGTGTAGTCATGCTACAGGAGGCTTTTTCTGCTCTTTTAATCAAATTTTAATGTTCAGAGACTCCTAAGAGTTGGATACTGGCTAACAACTCTGGACCATCTCGAAATCTTAATCAAGTTATCTAGCCTAGGCCAGAAAGTACAAAATTTCAAACCTGGCTAAAAGTATCAACAGAAAAGGAAACGCAAATTGACAGATATTCCCCCAACAACCTCTTTTGAGGACCTACCAGTTTACAAATCCTCACCCATTATTTGTCTTTCCCACCAACTTATCAAGCCTGGAGGGGATGGTTACTCATTGTTGCCCAGAAGGAAAATGTGTCTAGGCTTGGAAAAGATGGCACAGTCGAATGGTGACAGAAGCACACTAATTCCCAGGCCTCTTTAGTCCCAATTTCATTCCACTCTATTGTACTGCCTGGATCTCAATTAAAAGAGGAAGGCTGAGCCACAAGGACTGGGAAAGTTCTCCTCTCACATGCAAGAGCCATCATCTCATCTTCCCTTTTCATTCTACCTTTTCTAGCCTTCTCTGTAGCATTTCCAGTATTCACCAGTTGCTACTGTTTTGGTTCTAGTCAGAACATTTCAAAAAGCCTACTGACTTGGAATCTAGAGGAGCTTTCAACCTAGGCTGTTCTCATCAGAAACAACATCATAACTACTGTGGAACATGTTCCTGTGCTGTCCACTTTCTTAGGTGATAAGTTTGATGGGCCCAAAAAAGATTCAAATAAAAACCTACCTTATGGACAAAAGATGCAGACTTTGAATTAAAGAGAATGATCTCTGATATTTTACAGAATGTTTCTAAATTCCATAGCAGAAGCCTATTTTAAAAACTGTTTATGGATGGAAAAAAGGGCTCCCTGGCTTGACATACTTTGGTAAATCTGTGGAGACTCCTGACAGAACCCCTCTTAGGTGTCCTTGCAATGACCACTTCCCTGATTTGTAATCTTGCTGCTGAGGGGCACCTCTTCTCCAGGAGACAGTTCACTAACTCCAGATGTATAACAAAATCAAACTGAGTTTTTCTCTCCCCTGTTCCTTCAATGTGAAAGGCCTCAATATATCCTTTTATTTTTCCCAAATAGAACCTCCATCTTATAATCACTATATGTATTAGTAGCACATACCAGCTCAAATGGTGCTTATTCAACTGTATTATATAATTCAGCTGGAGTTTGTAGACTAAATCCTTACAAGGCGTTTGGTTTGAGAAAGTGGCCTAATCTTTTTGAGACTTAAATGTCTTACTTGTAAAATAAAGAGAATGCTACCATCCAGGGTCATAATGATTAAATATGATCAATGTGAAGGCAAACTGATAACTAGGCATGAGTAGATTTTTAGCAAATGGCCTTTGGGATGCAGCTTCCTGCAGTGATCTTGTTTCTTAGCCACTACCATAGATCCTCTAAAGAAGACACAAATTTCATAGTCCCTCTTCACCTGAATGCTGAAATCCTGCCCCCTGCCTCCATACTCTAATGTCACAATTTTCCTGCAACCTTGATTTCACTGCATCAGTCCTTTACTTACCAAAGTATTCCACATTGCTTACACAGTCAGGGTTACCAAAGGCTCATTGGACCCTTGGATACCTGTAGAGGGAATGACAGGGAATAAACAAAGACAAAGAAGTAAATTTCAGGACATAAGGCATACTGGGAAGAGCTTTTCTCTAGTGGACTGGCATAGCTAACTCCAAGTTTGGAGGGCTTTTATTGGCTAGCAGAAAATGCAACAAGAGATGCAGCACACATTTCATGGAACAGCAACTTTACAAAATGGTATAGGATAAGCATTAAATTAATTAGGAGCCAGATTTTCTTTAAACCTAAATGCCTGTGTTTTGACAACTATTCTTAGCAGATGCTATTTGGTGGCAGGAGTGCTGGGTTATTAGCATTCCGGCCATAGCTGAAACATGTGTCCTTCTATGTACCTCTTCTCTTTCCTGAAGCAAGGTCACAATGACCTTAGGACTCAGGAGGGGGGCTTAAGTGACATAGTTGGGCTCCCCACTATCTATCAGATGGCCCGGTTCCCAACACAGGGTCAAATCCCTTTGCCTGACCTTCAGAGCTTGTTCTCTACGTGCTTCTTGCAGGATTTTCAGTCTCACTTTCCTAACCTCAGACCTCAGTCACAAATTCAGAGGTCACTTCACTGTAGATTAGTCATCTAGACATAATCTCTACTTAGAAATGAGCTTACCTGATTAATTTCCTTCTACTTTTTTCTTTTTCTTTTTGGTACTAGAGATGGAACAAAGGGCCTTGCACGTGCCAGAAAAGCATTCTACCACTGAACTATAACCCTAGCTATGGTAAGTGTTCTTGATATGCCAGCTTTCTTTTTAGGTTGCTAAGGTCGTATTTCTCCTAAATGACAGGGCCTTTGGTAGCCACCTACTTGCTACTCCCCTCTCAATCTCCCAACTTGGCTTACAGAAGAATATGTAGCAACCAGCCTGGCAAAGGTGAAATCAGAAAAAGACTCCACTCCCTCCCCAACTCCTCCCTTAGATGAAAAACAGGAGGCAATCTCAGAGATTCAGAAGTGACAGAATATTCATAAAAGTATGTAGAGGAGCAGTTCGGTCAAGAGAATAATACAGACCCCTGACTTTTCTATGTAGCCAGTCCCTTCTCATTATACTCTGTGTGGGAGGACAAGGAAGTAAATAGGTTTGGGGGTGGGATATGGAGAATGTGCTTTGAGCAAGAGATCTTCAAATTGGAGGCCAGGTGCTGTGGACTTATGTGTATCCTTGGGGAATTCTTTTCCATATTCGGAACCTCAGTTTTACCATTTAGAAATAGAAGACTAGACCGGAAGATTCACTTGCCCCACACTGCCCTGAGAGGCAAGGGGAATAGTGGCACTGTGCCCAATTTTGCTGCTGAGTCAGGAGGCATTATAGGGACTAATGAGCTGACTTTGGGGGTCCAATGCCTTGCTGGCCTGTATCTCTAGTTGGTTAAGCCCAGTGCCAACCCCATAAAACAGAAGTGTACTATTAACACACAACCTTCAACATTTTACTCTTGCAAAATGTTCTGGGCCTGGCCTACAAGTATTTCCAAATATCCAGAGAGATTTAGGCCTAGAACTTGCATGGCCTAGCTCTGTTTCTTTATAAGAGCTGTAGCCTCCAGCAGAGAAGGCTGAGCAGATGGGAAGGGAGCGCTCAGGAGTGCTGGCTAAGGAAGAAGGATTAGAATCTGCTTGAAAGCCCAATAGGGGTAAGAAATCTGTAGGAGATAAAAGCAATTAAAGCTCTGTAACAAGAAATACAGAACAAAAAGTTGAAAAGGTCCCTATACCACCAACATGCCTGGCCCTGAGCCCAAGTCCCCTCAGGCTAATTTCTCTATTGTCCATATATTCTCCTCATCCCAAGGGGAGCTGGAGATGCAACATAGCCTCATTGAGTTGACACCTGCATCTTGCAGTGGTTCTGACTTCCCTGTCTTCCTGGTACTTACACAATCACAGGTTTGAAAAATAAGATCAAGTGGAGGAAGTAAAAGATTATGTGATTATTTAATTTCAAAAAGGGAAGTTGGTAGGTAGAGTTTAGGTTTAATTCCTGTGAAATCACCAATGAATTGATAAAAAGAGTACTGGTAGCCAGCTGTTATTAACTCCACCCCCTCAACACATACACACACATGCACGCACACAGATGAACTGTAGCATTAGAGGATCAGATTAGCTCAGAGTAAAAATTTCCTGACTGGCAGTGATATGTGGGACCCAGAAGTAAATGTAAAAGGAAGAATATGAAATATCTCCTCTGGGAGTTTAGCTTTTGTTACCTAGTTTATCTGCCTAAACAGGATTGGAGGCAGGAATTTGGTTAATTTAAATTATTTTTTATTTTATTAGTACATGTTTGCAGTTCTTGCAGTTTAGAATCATCTTGGGGAGTGGTTACATGAACATACCACAGCTTTTTTCTCTTAGGGAATGGTTACAGGTACATATCACAGCTTGTTTCTTTTTTTATTTTTAATCCCTTTCACTTTCCCTTTCCCACCCTCTGCTAATTCCCTTATCCTGTTTTTATTCTTGTTGACATTATTAATCACAGCTCATATTATGGCATATAAGTCTACATTAGTTGAGATTATTAGGTTCCTAGGCAGAGCATATTCTACTTATTTCTACTCCTTCTTTTCTTTGCCCCTTGTATATTTTCCCTTGGACCACTTTCCTTTTGCAAGAGATCCATCATCTTGTCCCCTCCTATTCATCTTTTATTATTTTCTTTATACTTTGCAGGAAGGGAAATTGATGTAGTAATAGTACACACTCCCTCCTTCTAGCTTCAGTAGCCTATCTATTAAGTAAGGAAATGGAACCCTTTTCAGTTCTACAAGCAAGCCTATGATATGCCGCACTTTCTATTTTTCTCATTCCCTTATTTCCCTAGATCAGTGGAGTGGGGCTGTTTCTACCACACACACATTCCAAGAATATAAATGTAACAGTTCTTGAGGAATTTTTAACACCTCTATTATACTAGGAAAGAATCATTAGATTGCTAACTTCTTTCTTCCAACTATATTCCTTCCTTCTGAAATTATCAGCCCCAACAGGCTTCCGCCTAAGAGCAAGAGACAAAAGAATATACAAAAAGGGTAGGGGGATCCTCAGATGCAGCCCCCAAATTAATTCAGCCTGCCTTCAGTCTTACAGAAAGGAGGAAGTACGAGAAAGTAGGGAGGTACTAAAATCTGTATTGAGTGAAGGCAGCTGGAGACAATGAAAGCCACTACACAAGAAGTAGTAACTTCTCCTTAAATAGTTTTGGGACCTTAAGCAAGCCCCTGTTGCCTTCCAGGGCTAAGATTCCCATTGGTAAACACAGTGGTTTGAACTGGTGCTTCCCAAAAGCCTGTGTAGCTGAGAGGAGGGGGTTCAGCGGAGGTCTGAAGGGACACTTCTCAACTCCAATGGGTATTTAGGTGTTACGTTTCCCCCTCCTTTTCCTCCACAAGGCCAAAAGAAAGGCTAAATTGTGAAACTTCTCTCTGGAGATGGCCTGCCCTCAAGTCTGCAGATGGACTCCTACCTATGACTAGCAGCATGTTTTCAGTAACTTTCAAAGATCCAATTCTAAAACCCTTTGAAAAACTTCATTTTTATCATGACATATTTATACACCAAAAATCCCCTAGTTCTCCAATCATCAATATTCTTTCCCCCAGCAAGATTAGATTGCCATTCCACTTCCGGGAGAACATGGCGGACAGATAACAGCAGCTATGGAGGCTCTCTGAAAGACTCGGCTCAGAATTCAGGAATGGTGCGGAGTAAGGAGACATAAGCAGGTGGAGATATGCTCTGCTGACCCAGGAACGAACTGGGCTGAGAGAAACCAACTTGGAATGCAGCCCTGGTGCTAGAACAGGAACAGAGGGGCCTCAGTGTGGAGGCTGGAGCCCGCGCCATTGGAAGCCATGATTTGGGTTTCCCGCCGCACGGCAGATGCATCTACATCGGCTCGGCAAGGAGAGAGACGCACAGAAGCTCTGCAGGACGGGCGGAGAGCTGTGCACTGACTTGTGGTGAGGTGAGTGAGAGAAACTGAACCTCTACCACAGTTTGACTCCAGCGGAGCATTCTGGGACTTGGCAGACTTGCGGGAGCAGGGCACTGCAGCGACTCCAGCCATGTATCCCCCTCTCAAGCGGGATTGGTGAGAAGTGCCTAGCCTACGTGACTCTGCTGGCAGAGACCCAATAGGCTAGCACAACCCAGATCCCAGAGCCTGAGGGTGACCTGGAGGGGCGGGCACCCTGTAGGCTGCCTGGTCTGGAATTTCCTGGTGTGCTGCGGTGGGCGGGAACACCTAGCCGGTGCAATTCGATCAGGCTGTGGCTGACAGGGAGGGAAGCTGGGCCTCCTATACAAGCTTGCATATATAAAGAACAAAGAATATGGGAAGAGGCAGCAACAAGAAAGGCTCCTCGGCCCCTATTCCTGAGAAACAGGTAATAGGGGACACTGCACCAATAGACATAAACCGTCATCTAGAGAGCCTCATAGATCAGTTCAGGAATGAAGTTATTAATGACCTGAAGCTAGAAGTAAGCAGAATAGTTAGAGAAATGCTAAGCACCACCCAAGAAAAAAATGGATGGTGGAATGGAAGAACAAAAAAAGAGGGGAGAATTGTTTGATGGAGAAAATAGAGAAAGCATAGAATACGTGAAGCAGGTTCAAAGGGACTACCAGGAAACTAAAAACTCTATCAAAAACTGGCATAACAGCTTGAAAGAAACTAAGGACAGACTATCTGAACTGGAGGGCAGATTTGTAATATGGGAGAATGAAATGAAAAACTTCTTAAAAGTAACAAAGAAACAAACAGCAATAATACAAAGACAAGAAAATGATAAGAGGATACATAACTTAAGAATTAAGAACATAAAAGAAGAAGTAGGGACACAAACAAATGAACTACAAAAGCTACTCACAGAAACAATCCAGGAGAATTTTCCTAATTTAGCAAAAGGTAAAGATACTCAGATGTATGAAGCATACAGGACCCCAGCCACCTACAACCCAAACAGAGCAACACCCAAGCCTATAATAATAAAAATTCCAGAAATTCAATACAAGAACAGAATATTAAAAGCTGTCAGAGACAAGAAACAGACCACTCACAAGGGAACACCCATCAGAATTACAGCAGATTTTTCTGCACAAACCATCAAATCACGAAGAGCTTGGGGGGAAATAATTCAAGCTTTGAAAGATATTAATCTCCAGCCAAGATTGAGATATTCTGCACAACTGTCCCTGGAAATTGATGGAAAAACAAGGTGCTTCCAGGATAAAGAGGAACTGGGGGAATTTGCAACCACCAATTCAACTTTACAGAGAGTATTACAGGATATTCTAAAAAAAGAAAAATACAAAAAATCCAGAAATAGTAGCGGGGAGGCCACAATGAATGGAGCAGAGAACAAAATGAAGAAGACAAACTGACAACTAATGACAGAAAAAGAGCTCAACAGAAATGAGGCAGAGAAGATTGGATGATAGGAACAGCTATTTTGGAGCAAATGATGTCTTAATAGGTAATACTGATTTAGTATCATCTTGTTTTGAAGTCTCATCAAGCTTTTGTTCTTCTGTCTCCATTGGTCTAAACAGGTTGTATCTTATTGGATTTTATTATGTATGATAGTATAAGCAAAAACTTTTAAAGACAAGGAGATTATACAGAAACCATTGTTCATTTTCTGTTAGTTGATTCTAAATACCCTGTAATGCTGTCATTCTCTTAAATGGTTTTACATTGTTTTGATATATTTAATGCTACAGTATACGAAGTTGTACTCAAGGATTTCAAGGAAAGAGACAATATGGTAACTACTTTTATGTCAGGATTATCTTGTGGTGAAACACTATTCTGCTTAAATGGTTATGTTTTGATCAATCTCCACTCCATTATTTACTTTTTTATTTTTATCCTTTTAATTAAGGGAAAAATAAAAAAATAGCAGGATATATTATAGTAACCCACTTTAACTTTCCATTATCTTGATTTAAAGCCCTGTATTACTCTCACCATCTTGTTTTTGACTGATGTCCCCCTATTCTGTTTTGCTTTATAGTACCAGGTTCGAAAGTTTAGGCAACAGCTGTGAAGATAGTGAGACTCATTATGACGCCCATTCTCGATGACTTTTATCTACTTTTGAAGACCTACAACGTCTCCAATGTTTTGGTTTTGTCGGTTTTGTTCTTTACTGTTTTGTTCAATTTTATTATAACTGATGATATAGGCAATTCTATTAGAGATAGCATGAGGCATTATCGTACCCATTATTGATCACCTTGTATTATGCTTTTATATTATCTATTATGTCCACCCTTTTGATTTGATTGACTCTGTTCTGTTATGTCACATTTGGTTCTACTCCCTTCCAAAAAAGTAATAAGAACTGTGGAGTAACAAAACCCAAAATGTGTAATTGTCATTGTACAAAAGAGAGGAAAAGAAAGTGCTCTAAATGATGTAACTGCATGTATATTTAAGGGTATAAGATAGAAAATGATATCACTGAGTTTTATTGGATCATTGAACAGAACTGTTTGCAGTATCATTGTTGGAATGTCCACTTTACAAGCTTTAATTTTGTGACTTGAACAATTATTTCTAAGATGACAATATGTAATCCATTATCTAGTGATTTCCTACTGTTTATTTTTTTCTGTAAATCTGTATAACTTGTACCCTTTTTCCGCTTTTTTTTTCTCCTTAAATAAAATTAAAAAAAAAAAAAAGATTAGATTGCCATTCCACAGCCTGGTGTTCAGGATTAGGAACCCCCATCATTGAGGCCCAACCTCTTCTTTAACTCTAAGCAATGCCATCTCAACCAGCAGGGACTCAGTAACTTCACTCAACCCTCTCTGCCAGCCATCCCCTCTCATTCTTAATTTTGTTAATACTAAACCCTTCTAATTTCTGGAAGCTTCCAAGGGTGATTCTGCCAGCATATACGGATCTTTAATTTCTCTCCATCCAGTTTGCCTCTAAGCTCAACAATCAGTATCCCATGGTATTTGATGTCTGGGATCTCAGCAGTCACAACCTTAAAGTGAAAGCCTTGAAAGTCATGTAAAGACACTAAGTACTTCTGGACTATTCATTAACTACTCTGTAGTACTAGACTTTGAGAGAGTTGTGGTTGAGGTCCAAGTTTAGTTTACTCCTTTAAGAGTTTCTGATAGAACTCAGCCATTAACTGTAGCAGGGAGATATAATGTAAGCCTGAAAAGGCCCAGGAAACACAAGCAGCCCTGCAGAAAAAGTCATCATAGGTAGCAAAAGGAAGGCAGGAAAGGGACCAAGGGAAATGTTCTGTGAGAATTGAGGCCTGAGAGGGAAGAGGTATACAATGAGCAAGTGTGGGTATGGGAAAGAGAGTTCCACAAACCAGATACAGTAGATGGCTGTTGGACTGAGGCAAAAGCTAAGGACAGACAGGCCTAGCCTTGAGCTGGAAATACTAAGCTGCAAGTAGAGGTTTTTCTTGGGGTCTGGTGGCTGTAGGAGGAAGTGACTGTTTGTAGTGTGGTATCTATAGTCCTGGATGATGTCAGAAAAAGTCACAAGCCAGACCTTCCCAGAGAAGAGATTTACTGCCTCTCATTATCTCACCTCAAAGGTGTCCAGGTTTTTCTGGGCCTTGCGGCTTGCTGGGCTCTCTATTCTCATATGTTCAGCAAAGGTCTGGGAACAGCTTGCAAAGCCTTTTGGTCATGGTCATGTCCTGTCTCCTGTTTCACAGGAAGACCTAGAGCCCATTGCTAGAGGTGCTACAAGGTGAGGTGCAGTGGGTGGGGTCCAAAGAGGGGAGCTGCACTGCACTGGGAAAGGGAGCTCTGTTAGAATTCTAAGGAGTGGGAAGAGTATCCAACAGCACAGTGCCCTCTGCCCTGCCCATGCCCCTTCTGCAGGAAGCAGCCCTGCAGATAGAGGTGTTTGTATGCAGGACAAAGCTTGCCTTAAGCAGCAGTCCATGGCAAGGCAAACTTAGCCAGATGAAGGACAGCTATATGGGTAACCCAGCTGCTGCCACCCGGGAAGACCTGGGTGTGCATCATCTGGCTGGCTTAACTCTTTGCTACTGTGAATATCAAGTCAAGTACAGTGTTCAGGTGGTCACCAGTTTCAGAGGTGTCTGTAGCAGGCAATGACTGCGGCCCAAAAGAATGGAGATTTTTAACTAACTGTGAAATTATAGAGTTTAGTTTCTTTGCTAGCTCTATCACAAACACATTGAATTCCTTACTACAATGACTGTCCCTCTACCCCTCTGGCACAGAAATCCACCCTCCCCCCAACATCGAGGCTACAGTTATTTTTAAACAGGAGGCTGGAGAGAAAAAACTCGGCCAGTGCCCTCCAAGGGGAAAAGAGGCAAGAAGACCGGAGGGGGGATACAACAAAGTGGCAATGCACCTCTAACCCAAGGAACAAGAACCCTGTTATGAGCCCGCCTGCCAGCTGGGGCTGGCACCAGATGCGCCTTAGAGGCCCAGGAGAAGATGAGACTTGGGGCCACAGGGCCAAGGTTCCAAAGGAAAGCTGGTGGCCCAAGGGCCCAACTGAGGTCCACTGGGGCGGAGACAGTGTGGATATTCTAATCTCTGCCTAAGCCAGTAGTCATCAGGACCAAGCTAGCTCCCTAGCTTCATTTGCAAAGAGATGCAGGATAGGCACAGCAAAGAGGAAAGAGGGAGGGGCCGCAGCAAGGCCGCGGGGGTGAGTAGCCCCCGCATAACACAGCTGTTCCAGCAAACGTGCTACAACAAAGCTTCGGCGCTCCAGGCCTACAAATGCACTGCTTGGGGTGCTGATTGGCGAAGCCCTTCCCCGGACCTAGCAGCAGCACATGAAGGCCCATCTCTTCCTCCAAGTGCCCGAGGTAAGAGCCAGGTTAGCCTGCTGGCCTGTTCTTCCTCCCCACCCCACCCCCAGCTGTAGTCGCCCGCCCCAAGAGAATTCACAGCGGCTCGGCCCTTCACTGGACAGTCTGCATAGCCGGTTCCAGTGGAGACAGGCGAGAGACCCAGACTCTGACCGGCCCTGCCCTCAGTGCCCTCCACCAGGCGACCTAAACGAAGCACGCGGGAATTCACCCGACAGCCAGCAGGCAGAGGCTTCTGTTAGGCTTACCCGGCTCGGTTCGGCTCCCTACCCGGTTATTTATTGTTTGCTGTGCCACTCTAGCCCCAGGTAGCGTCGGGGCTGCTGCGGGTGAGAGCGCCGAAACCGCTGCTCTTGCTGCTGCTGCCGCTGCCGCCACTGCCACCGCCGCCGCTCGAGCTCCACAGTCATCTCCTGTACAGATTCCCTTCCCCAGGTTCTGGGCAGCTGCCCCATACCCTCCTCCCTAGGACTCCTTGGACACAGGGTGGGGCCTCTGTGCCCTGATTGGCGGGAGTGCTGTCCAATCGCTACTGTGGATAGACATGCTCCGGTCCGCCCACTATTTTCCTTGGTGCAGTTTTCTTTAAATGCAAATAAGTGCGGGCGTGGTATTGCAGGGGGCGGAGAAGGGCGCGGAACCTCACGCTGAGGCTCTACCCTCGCGCCCTTACGCTGGGCGGGTAGCAGCGTGGCTACGTTGACTGTTCAAGGGGCCGGTTCAGCCCGGCTGGGACTTGCTTGATCGCTGGAGTTTAGTTTCGGTTTTGCGGGCACTACTATTTCTCAGGCCACCTTGGATTTTCTACTGCTCCCTGGCCGCGGTCTAGAAGTTTATCCAGAGATAGACGGAGGGAAGTGGGGCAGGGAGTTAGAGGAGACTGAAGGGACTACAGAGCCCCTTGGCACCCTGGCTGGCCCATCCTTAGGTGTAGCTGCAGGGCCACGTGGCCAGCTAGCACTCTAAACCACGCAGAGGCGGTGCTGAACTGCTTGGAGAGCCAGCTGTGGTGCCTGGGCCCTAAGTTTTACTATGTACAACACATCAGGAAGGACACCATAGATCAATTTGCAGCTGTTAATTGATGGAGCTACTGCTGTCCAGAGAAGGAAAGATGCTTTCACGAGTGTACTATTTAAATTTATAGCTTGATGCCCTCCCCCAGCCTCCCGTGGTCATTGATGGAGCGTTTTTCAGAGGTGGCTGGATGGAGGGTGCCTGAGAGTGGGATTAAGAATGTGAGCCTAGGATTAAGGGTGTGATGCTAGCATTAAGGGTGCCCACCCTTGGTTTATGTAGAATCAATAAATGAATGGTTAGCCTGGATGTAATATAAAGCCTGGTTTGTTTCCTGCTGCTCCTGCTTGGCTGTTTTGCTGCCTTCTGCCACTCACACTATGAACTGTTTATCTTCTGTGACTCCCCTCTGCCATGCTACCTTGCTTTGGGCCAGCCAACTATGGGCTTAAACCTCTACACACTGTGAGCTACTTTCCTCCCTTAGCTTGGGTGTTGGATAGTTTGAGCAACAAAAAAGTAACTAAGGCAGCCCACCTGTGACAGAAAGCAGTTTTGGAATCCAGAGACCAGAGATTATCCTCTAGGACTGCTTTCAATTTTTTTCTGTAAGGAGATAACTGTTTTCATATTTTAATCCTCACCTGTTTTCTACTTTAAAGGGAACATGGAAGGGATTCCTAAGGTTTCTGGAACACACCCCTCCCCCCCTTAATTGTGTGAGTACAAATCCTTTTTCCTGAAAAGCTGATTTGGAGAGTCTTACGTGGGCCCAAATTGACTGAGGTCAGGCTGAGGACAATGACAAGGCCTGCACTAACCATGCCCTCTACTGTCTCTGGATATGGCAGGGAGCCAGCTGAGTTTGGGTCTCTAGCTTAAAGAATTAAATGTCCTTAGTGGCTGCCAGGGCCATGTGAACTGAGGCAATAAATAATGCAGTTGTACCACTAGATCAAGAATATCCAGAAAGCCCAGCATTAGAACTTTGTGAATGTTTTAAAAGGGGAATGGGAGTGGATTAAGCTTGATAAGTGAGGAAAGGATTAGAAAACAATTCGAGGCATTTTTTCATTGTAGGAGTATTCTCTACTGCTCTACTGTGTCCTGTTTAGTTAAGAGAGTGACTGCTGCCTCTGCATGTGTGAAACACAGGAACTAACATGGCTGCATGGGCTAGATTTACTGTAATTTGGATTTGCTGTGAGACTTGGGCCAGTCTATTAGGTAAATTCCATCAATTCAACTCAGTTCTTCCAGTAATATTCTACTATGTTCCATGACCTTTCTTACATTATGCACATCCATAAAAATTAGTGTTATATGTTACACTCGTATTCCACTCCTAGGTTTAAATAAATAGGAATGAGGAGTTTCTTGTGCAGCTTTTTTGGGTAGCTTCTTTCTCTCTATCTTAGTACCCCCATCTGGATTTGTGGACTCTTTTTCTGCTCTTCAAAGTCCTGATTCTCATTCATTGGGCCTAATCTGGAAGTATTTTTTTTTCTTTCCAGCACCTTTATCATAGGCTTTCTTGCTGCCTTGTACCTCTGTACATTTGCTAGTTGTTCACATTTCATTCAGAACATCGATCCTCTGAATTAGGCCAAGATTATAATTAGGAGAACTCCATTTCCAAATCTATAGTCTGGGGAAACAAATCACTAGGGCAGTCTCAGATGTGAGAATATGGGGAGAACAACTGTGCAAGGTGTATGCACATGTGTGTGCTCATGAAACCACATATTTACAAGTTAAGGAGGACGGCTCATGAGAGGGAGAGAGAGAGGTGCAGATCCTTAATTCATGTTGGTAACTTATATCTTAAAATACCTTCTCTCAGAGGAATCCATCAATGTCCCCGTCCCACATATTGACTCACACTTGATTGAGATTCTTGTCCAGGACAGGGGTTCATAATGGGGAGCAGGAATTCTTTCTTAGATTTTTCCCAACTTGAAAAATGGAGATAAATCCCTTGCTACCTAGTATCTATGACTGCAGTGAAAAGTTGAAAGTCCAAGTTGTATGAAGAGAATTCCAAAAACTCAGTTACACAAATGGGGGCACATGATTATAAGACTTGATTCTTTTTTCACTATATGTTCCATGGGTACCTTCTCTATGCCAGGCCTGGAAACAGGTATTCAATATGGTGGTAAACTTCTCAATGGACCTAGAAAGAGTTCTGACAAGAGCTGAAAGCTAAACCAGAGGTCTGGCAAAGGTGTGCTATAACACCCTAGATGAAGAAACACTTTTTCTTCCCAGGTGGGAAGGGATGTCACAGAAAAGTTCTGTAGAGAATGGCCTTGATAATTGAATCAAGTCAGAAATGGAAAGGATTCTTTCCCAAGCCAAAGCCCATCAGTGTGAGATGGTATGATGGTTTGGGTAAGTGATAGGATTCTGGTTGACTGTTGTTACTTATGTGATGGAAAAATAAACAACTGGATATTATCCAGTACCAGAAAGATAGTAAGATGGGTAAGTTGAGGGTCAACTAAGTAAATTCATCCTTCCTGTAGAAGTAGTACTGTGTATTGGCTCTGTACCAGACTACTTAGGCTGGTATGCTAACCCCTTTCCTTAGGAGCAATGTGGTATGAGAAGTTTTAATTCAACATTCCTAGTCTCAGTACTTTTCTTCTATGAAATAAAGATAGTACTGCCATGTTGGGAGCCGCGTCTGTGATAGCTCGCCTTGCGCGGCGGACGTGCGGCCTGTGGTAAAGAGCAAAGCCTGAGGTAGATTACCCCTCCCATCGAATATGTTAGTTTCCTGCTTACCGCGTAAACAACTCGCTCAACAATATAGTCTGCCTGGCAACTGATGATGTTAGCCAATCAGCTTGCCTTGCTTACTTTAACATGATTGGACACTGTACCCGTATATATACCGGTGCCACCCCTGGGCGGAAGAGGAAGCCAGGTAGAAGCCCGGAAGTAGAAGCCCAGAAGGAGCCGCGGAGAGCGGACCGGTAGAGGCTTCGGAGCGAAGCCCGGAAGGAGCCGCGGGGAGCGGACCAGAGGAGGCTTCGGCTGGGAGCGATCCCAGGGCAGGCTGTACGGAGAAGAAAAATAAAAAGAAAAGGTTGTCCACTACCAGACTTTGTCGTGTGTCCTTCCTGCCGGCCGGGAGCGGACATCGACATTTGGTGGCCCGTACGGGGACTGATCACCCCCGAGACGTGGAAGTGGACAACGCTCCAGTACAGAGCTGCGAGACAGGTGAGTTGGGGATAAGCCTGGGCTCTGGGTGGCGCGCACCTACAGGGCTTTTAGACTCCCCTCAGGCTCACGCGTAAGTGGCGGATTCCTTGGGCCTCACGCGGTGAGTAACATATTAAAAGATGGGAAACATGTTAGGTAGCAACACTAAGAGCGAGGGTGGTTGTGGAGAAAGCTCTCAAGAGCTTACAAAAGTACGCAGGGTATTTGAGCAGGCCCAGTCGGGGAGCTCCCGAGAGGGGTCCGTCAAGGGGAACAAAGATGCTAAGGAGGAGGATGGGGCTCTAGCCTCGGAGTCGTCTGACTCCGAGGACGAGGGAAAGTTGAATGGCAAGGAGGCCAAAGAGACCAGCTGTCAGGAGCCTAAGTCGCTCAATAAGGAGTCGCAGGGTTCTTTTCCAGCGTTGCCCCGCGAATTGCGCTCTGCTCAACCTGGTCTGCGGAGGAGTAGAGAGCTCCTGAGCGCTCCCCGGCGCGAGAGGGAGGCGAAGCCTTCCGCCCCACCTTGGGGGCCGTTTCCGGAGGCGATTCCTCGCCACGAGGCGGCCGCCTGGGAGCTCTCTCCCCTTTCGCCAGAACAGGAAGTGATGCACGGGCCCCCATTTTCCGCCCAATCACGGCTGCTGTCTTATGCTCCGCCGCCGGCGGGTCGGTATTTTTACAGGCGGCTTTGGCAGGGGGGACGCTTGTCTCATGAGGTACATCCACCTGGGATAGATAGTGGCCCCTACGGGATATTTCCTGTACAAGTAGCTATGGGCCAGGGACGCAATGTATGGGAGCCTTTTGAGATAAAGCAGATTAGAGAACTTAAAAATGCAGTTACAACCTTTGGGTCGACTGCGCCTTACACCATTGCCATGCTGGAGAATCTGTCTTCTGGGCCCCTCACCCCCGCGGACTGGATTCAGCTGGCAAAGGCGTGTCTGCCCTCGGGCAGTTACCTGGATTGGTGAGCCTGGTACGCAGAGTTCTCTGCAGAGCAGGCTGAGAGAAACGCCAATCGGGGAAACCGGGGGTGGAACAAGGAAATGCTTATGGGAGAAGGTCGGCACGCTGATGACCAGACCCAGTTCCCCGGCGCTGTCTATGAACAAATCAATGCCATAGGGCTCCGCGCCTGGAAACAGGTAAGTGGT